TCTCAAGTTAACCAGCTCCAGCGTCCATCCCACGCATGCCAGACACGGAATCCCACCTAGGCAACGCCCATCAGTTTAAATTTACAGATTCTATCACCAATTTGGTGCTACTTATAAAAACAAAGTAGGTACGAAGCACAACTGATGCCACACTACGATTCCAGAAGTCTACCACGACGTTTGCCAGTTGCTGATTTGCAAAAGGGTTCAAGCTATCCTTATATTAATTCACATAAGATCTCGATGTACCCACATAAACACGAAATTGCGAGAAAATAAAAGACCACACACAAGAAAAGGCAACTGTTTCTACGTCTTAAGCCACGGATGAGCAGTGAGACTCGCTTTGCCACGGTCGCCGTAGTCGTATAGAAGCTCTTCCCCTGTAGTATTAAAATAGTGGAAATTTAACAAATGAAAGAAAAGAAAAGGATATATTGTTAAGTATCAGCACTGCAACAGCACAGAGCCCCTAACAGTCAAACGTTCGTCAACTTGTGGAATCAGATTCAGTTTAAGTCAAGAGATAAAGTCGTTTACGGGTTAACCACCCAAATGATAACGAGACAATGTAAGAGGTAAGCGACTCGGATTTCGTGGAATATAACTTTATCGCAGTATCCCGCACACATTTCACGCTAATAAGAAACCCGACAGACCTGGTGGGATTTCGGTTTTCGCAAAAAGGGCTAGGTGAGGAACCCCGTTTATGGGTATGACTTTGACAACGCAGTTGGGATGTAGTCGACTGTGGTTGATGAGTCTGCCGAGTTTACCTGTTTCTTCAGTTGCATCCACGCAGTAGCGCTGATTTCTAGGCCGAAAAGGTAATTAAATGGAGTCGCCGTATCGCTTGCGATGGCATGGAGACTTAAAGGACTGAAAGAAATACCATACCCATGGCAGAAAAAAAACATGAAAGACCCCACGCTAGGGTCCTTGTTATACTCAGCCTCGCGTGCTCGCGCCTCACTACCAGAGATGAGTTCACCAACGTACTCCACCACAAATTCACCTGGGGAAAATGACCGCGTGGTTATCACTCCACGACCCTTCTCTTCGGTAACCACAATCTAAAGTATTAATACCAAACGTTGCAACGGACTGTCTGTGCAGCCAAAAATTAGGAACCATTCTACTAGGATCACACGCGTGCCCAAAACAGCTCCACAAGGCGGTACATCTTAAAATCCACCAAAAAGAGCTATGAAATCTGAAAAGGATCACAAAAGAAACGAATTACGACAATTATAACAAATTTTACAGAT